CTGCAGGCTGAACAATCCCAACTCTCTCAGCCTTTCCTTGTAGGAGAGGTGTTTCATCCCTCTGATCATTTTTGTGGCCCTCCTCTGGACCCGCTCCAATAGGCCCATGTGTCCCATTACATGGGACCATACTGGTCCCAGTACAAACCCCTGAGGGACACCACTTGTCACCAATCTCCATCTGGACATTGAGCCATTGACCACTACCCTCTGGATGGCAACCATCTAGCCAGTTCCTCATCCACTGAACAGTCCACCTATCAAATACATATCTCTCCAGTTTAGAGAGAAGGATGTTGTCAACCATCTAGCCAGTTCCTCATCCACTGAACAGTCCACCTATCAAATACATATCTCTCCAGTTTAGAGAGAAGGATGTTGTGGGGGCCCGGGCCAATGGCTTTACAGAAGTCCAGATAGATGACATCCATAGCCCTTCACTTGTCCACTGATGTAGTCACTCCATCGTGGCTATTCTTCAGAGACAGCTCTTCATAGTCTATCTATTTCTTGATGTGGAGGGCAACACCTCTGCTCCTCCTTCCTCGCCTTTGGGGACTTTGAATATCATCTTGTGCTTCTGTGACCCCGGTGTCTGTTCTTAAAGTTGTATGTTGTGAAGGAGTCTGTATGTGTTGCTGCAGTGTTGCCTGAGTGGTAAAATCAATGTATCTAGACTTCTTTTTTTGTCTCATACTTATTTTAACAGTAATACATTGCTCTAATTTGGTGGTGTTTTACACCCATCTTGCATTTTGCTTTTGAAAGCTAAGCAGCAGCAAAAGGCGAGCATGGAAAGTTAAACCCAATGACTGTGCTAAGCATCTTTACTCAGGCTATTCTGCCCAGTTACATCGATCTGATCACATCTGAGCCTAGTCATAGAATCATAGAATGTTTTGGGTTGGAAGGGACCCCTAGAGGTCATCTAGTCCAAACCCCCTGCAGGAGCAGGGACACCGCTAACTAGATCAGGTTGCTCAGAGCCCCGTCCAACCTGGCCTTGAATGCTTCCAGGGATGGGGCCTCCACTACCTCTCTGGACAACCTGTTCCAGGGTTTCACCACCCTCATTGTAAAGAATTTCTTCCTTATATCTAGTCTAAACCTACCCTGGTTTAGTTTAAAGCCATTACCCCTTGTCTTGTCACTGCTGGCCCTACTGAAAAGATTTTCCCCATCT